CACAACCGCTGAAGACAAAGTGGGTGAATAAGCAAATGTGGTGAAGAAAGCTGATGGTGCCCGGCTATCAAAAGAGAAAGCGTCTGGGGTCTTAAAAGCTTGAAGGTAAACAAGCGGACACCTAGCTCAGAAGCAACAAAGCCCACATGGAAGAAGCACACCAGCCCGTGTGATCACGAAGTGTCGAAGGGATCAGTTATCAGGCATCAAAGAACAAAAAATCATATCATTGAGTGCTCACCTCCATGATACGATCCCTGAAGACTAATGAGTGAATAAGCAAATGTGGCAAAGAAAGCTGATGGTGCCATGATATAAAAAAAAAATATAGCATCTGGGGTCTTAAAAGCTTGAAGGTAAACATGCGGCCATCTAGCTCAGAAGCAACAAAGCCCACATGGAAGAAGTACACCTCCTGGTGCGATCACGAGGTGTCAAAGGGACCAGGTACCAGGCATCATTAGAAAAAAAAATCTTACCATAGTGAATGATGAGGGGAGTGTGGAGTGGAGACCAAAAGCCCATTTGTAGGCCACTGGACACCCCCTTACAGAAGGGTCTCGAGGAGGAGATGAGCCAGTCAGGGTGGGATATAGCAAAGATGAAAATACAACTTTCCTATAGTTCCTAAATGCTCCCCCCGCCCCCCGTCCCCACACACACTATAATGATCTCAATTCTACCTGGGAAGTCTGGCTAGACCAGGGTACAGAGGGGAACTGAAAACACAGGGAATCCAAGGTGGATGATCCCTTTGGGACAAGTGGTGTGAGTGGTGACACTTAGAGGGTAGAGGGAGGGTGGTTTGGAAAGGGGGAACCGATTACAAGGATCTACATGTGACCTCCTCACTGGGAGGCAGACAACAGAAAAGTGCAGGTGAAGGAAGACATCGGACAGGGCAAGATATGACAAAATAATAATGGATAAATTATCAAGTGTTCATGATGGAGGGGGGAGTGGGGAGCGAGGGGACAAAATGAGGACCTGATACCAGGGGCTTAAGTGGAGAGCAAATGTTTTGAGAATGATAAGGGCAATGAGTGTACAAATGTGCTTTACACAATTGATGTATGAATGGTGTGTTAGTCTGGGTACTTTGGAGAAACAAATCTACAAAACTCATGTAAAAGAGAGAGTTTTATATAAAGGTTAAGTGAGCATCAAGAAAATATTCCAACCCAGTGCTGCCCAAGCCCACAACCCCAACATTAACCCATTAACCCATATTTCCAACACTAATCCACTAAGTCCTCTTCCATCTTAAAAAACAGACATAGTGATGCCGACTGCAAGAGAAAAGCCGAGTCAGTGAATGTGTAAGCATCACAGCGTTGGCAAGGGTCTCCATACCGGTACTCGAGCACCCAGGGCTGCATCGGGGTAGGTCCATGTGGCTTCTCCTTGGGGATGTCTTTTAGGAAATCAGTCTTGCAAGCTGAAGCAGGGAACTGCTAAGGCAGTTGCACCCTGATGCGACCATCACAAAGCAAGAGACCCAAGAACTAGAAAGGCGAGGCTCACTGAGCCAATTATCCTTCCACCCTTCAATTAATCACACTTGTGTTTTTTGGCCAGGTTGGCAAAATAAGCTAACTCAAATTGATTTTGATAAGAGTTGTATGAGCCCCTAATAAAATGATTAAAAAAAAAAAAGAAATGAAGACACATTGTACTCACTACAATCCAGGGGTTCAATCAAAGGACACTCTAGCATTTTTCGTTTGGAGATCATTGAATCAATTCACTTTTCATATGCACACTCAGATAGCATTACTTGATCCCGTTCATGTCACTAAGCCCCCATCTCACCATCTTGGTACTTGTCTGACCTATGTAAACTTGAGACCATGATGTAGCCGCACACTAGTTCAGCTCACCTCCATCTCTGAATTTGATGGCCACGATTGTCTCAGATAATTTCACAGAAGTGATTCGTAGGTTTTTCCTTAAGTATCACCCTGATGACATGA